AAGAAAATAAAAGCGAGTGAGCGTGTGTGTGTGTGTGTGTGTGTGTGTGTGTGTGTGTAGGAGTGTGGGGGAGAGCAAAGCCTTCATGGAATTGAATGAGAGAACTCTAGGAAGGTAGTTTTTGCACTATATAGTCTTCTCAGCAATGTGCTCATTGGAAAAAAAAAAAAAAAAAACACTGCAGGTGTCTGTGTCTTGACTGGCAGGAGTGATGGCACCTGTCAGAGCTATGCATCACTCAGGGAAGGTGGCGTCATGTGTGTCTTCCTTTGTGAGTTTCAGTCATCTAGTGATTTTCATCAGCTTTGTTTGGACTGAAACTCAGAGTAACGGTTGCTCAATTAAAGATCTCCTCTTTGTCTTGCTACTTGATCTGTGTAAAACTACTGCCCCCACAGAATGCACACACTGACGAATCAGAGGGATAACAATTTAGTTCAGTAACAACTGACCAACTGTTCCTCTACTTTTGTGGGGTTCATTAGTAGGCTATGGATTAGTAGGCGATTCAGTTGTAGATAGCAGATATTTAGAAAATATCAATCATTTATAAATAGTTCTAGAAGAAATCTTTTTTTTTTTTAACTGCTTTTCTGTCTTTCAATAAATTTGTCCTGGTCTCTGTTCTTTTACACATAATACAGCATCATTAACATTCCTCTTCAACACACTAAGGAACTTACAGCAACCTACACACGCACACATACACACACACACTAATTTAAAATAGTAAAATAATTTTCACACATAGTTTTGAATCTTCTAATCTTTTAAACATATTTTAAAAGGTAAAATCATTTCTTAAAGAAAAATATACTTCAGACCATAAAAGGCTTTCCCCAAATATTAATTTCCCCTCAACTATGAAATGATAATCTCACCTTAACAAAATGAGATACATCACTCTTAAAGGTCTTCTTAGTAATTACTTTATCTATAGTTGCAAATAAACATTGTTATTATTATAAAGCACAATGTAGCAAATGGACTATGTATCAATTCTCTTTTAGGATTAAGGTTTAAGTATTTAAATACTTCTATAAATTGCTACCTTACAATTTAAAAATTAATACTATTTGGTGAATTAGAAAACTAAGCAAAATAAAATATATTTTATTTGTGGACGTCATTTGTTTTTAATGTTTAATAATACGTAAATAGTTAAATGCTAGCCTCTTACACACATTTTGAGACTACTTTGTTATCTAAATACCAAGTAATTTTTTTCTTTACCATTTCTATTCCAATCCCTAACACTTATTTCTAGAGATTAGGAAAATGTTTTCTCTAGAAAAAAAAAAAGTTATCTTTTTTTTTTTTTGGTTTTTCAAGACAGGGTTTCTCTGTGTAGTTCTGGCTGTCCTGGAACTCACTTGGTAGACCAGGCTGGCCTCGAACTCAGAAATCCGCCTGCCTCTGCCTCCCAAGTGCTGGGATTAAAGGCGTGCGCCACCACCGCCCGGCAAAAGTTATCTTTTTAAAAATGTGCTACTGCAATTTCAAAGCTAAATCTAAGTGACTTTACAGTTTGATATCATGTGACATTGTATTAATCTATCCACATATGTAATTAAGTCTGGCCATTACTTTCTAATTCAACAAAGTCTTGAAATAGAAGGCTACTAAGTAAGATTTAAAACTAATAAAGTCTTTCTTGTTTCTAGAAAATTAAAAATTTATGCAGAAAAAGCCTTTGTTACAGGGAGGGCTGGAAGTTGGGTGGGTTTTGGGGGGTTGGTATTTAATTCAGCTATACACAATGTAGTACATACAAGGAAAATACAATTGGGATACTGTTTTCTTTAGCATTCCTATAGGAGCCCAAATTCATTTGCATTGGAGAGAAGACAATTACTGATTTTTAACTCATGAAAGACAGATTCACAGCTTTCTCGGCACCACCTCAGAGGATCTAACTGTCCAGTAGAACCCTATCTGCCATCATTCAGCTACCTCCTAGAAGTGGGCAGATACTGCCTGCTTTTTAAAGTTCTGTTTCTCACAGAATCATTCAACTTTAGGGACAAAAGCACATTCAAGTTAGCATGTCTTAGACCAACACAACTTATGCAATATGTGTACCAGTGTGCAGACATGACTTTTTAAGTGAACTTTCAGCAGTACCCAAAGTAAAATTTCTATCAAGAAAGTTTCCATAACTTTTAACAGCACTTTTAGAGTTACCAATTTTTCCCCTTAAAATCTTTGATCTACAGGTACTATATGAATACAGAAAAAAAAAATTGTATTCAGCAGACTGAAACCAAGTAGAATGTAAGCGAAACAAATGATGGGCATGCCTTACCTTACAATAATTTACACTTACAAAGGATGAAACATATGTAAGTGCACAAGAAAAAGAATTCTTTACTCTAGGATGACTGAGAAAACAGCAATGTCTAGTCTGTCTACTTTGTAGCCACCGGTATAAAAGGGTGCTATGTGATTTAACTGAAGCCCCAGTGGTAAGCAAATAGCATGCCAATAATTCCACAAAGACTAAAAGCATCTTACAAACTATCATTAGCTTTAAAAAAATAAATTGGGGGATATAGATGTTAAAAGAGCTCCCTAAAAATATCAAAGAACCAAGCACAATATTAAAAAAATAGCACTCAATTGTTGAATCATTTTTTTCAAGGAGGCAAACAAGAGAGAAAGACTTGTTTCCCTCCAGCTCTACAAAACTCAAAAAAAAAAAAAAAAAAAACCCCACACACATAGAACTGACCCACAGTTCACAAATTTACTTCCAACTTGTCAATCTGAATCAGAAAAGAACATAAAAACAATCACTGCATAACATGAAAGCTCTGGTCTTAAATGTCACAGTACCCTGTTTTTTGTTTTGTTTTGTTTTTGTTTATTTGGTTTTTGTTGTTGTCATTTAAGCCACAAGCATAGTTGTACCCAGAACTATGGAGAATTTACTGATGCCTCATCCCAGAGGGCTGACCTCGGCTAATCAATTTCAACCAGTTTAGCCTTCTCCCACTTAGCTTGCACTGCAAGTAGATAACTTTTGTATTTTAAAGTGAGAGAAAGAGAGAGAGAGGAAGAGGGAGAGAGAGGGAGAGGGGAGAGAAAGAGTGTGTGTGTGTGTGTGTGTGTGTGAGAGAGAGAGAGAGAGAGAGAGAGAGAGAGAGAGAGAGAGAGTGTGTGTGTGTGTGTGTGTGTGTGTGTGTGTGTTGGAGCCACTCTCTCCAGCAGGCTACCCATGCATTTGGTATGTTAACTGTCTTCAGGTGTAGTCAATCACACAGCCTGCTCTCAGATTCCTCCAAGTTACTTCACAGCGTCAACATGTTCAAAGAAATTGTTTATTCCTAGGACTACAGAAGTCCTAGACTGTTTATTTAATTTATGCTAAAACTAGTGACACGACTACTTTTGAACTCATATAAGCAAAATTACCACTTCAGCCAAAAAGCAAACAATTCCTAAATTTAAAAACAAAAACAAAATGGTCTTTTTGTTGATAAGTTTTAGTTGATCACAATGACTTTAAATAAACCAGTACTTCGCTTATTTTGAAAATTAAATGATATACACTGCATTGTGGAGTAATGGGACATTAAATAACCTCAATTAAAAGTTAGTGACTTTTGTTAATTTTAAACTCCAAACGGATTCACAAGAGCAAGACAGCCAACAAAAATGAAATATTTATAGATGCAAACTCCCTTAAGGATTCTCAGTGGTTCTAACATTATTCATCAAATCTTCAACTGTTAAGAGACGAATGGTTTAAGCTTACAGTAAGTATTTAGCATCCAAGATCCCCTTACACATCCCAACTTAAAAATATATAAGCATAAGACACTTTACAGAGCGCCAGCTCTAGTTACACATTTTCGACATAAGAATCCGTTCAGTATAACAGCCCAGACTGCAAATCATAATTCTTAACTTTTCAAAAACAAAAGTATTAAACAGTTTTCTAACGTGGCACAATCATTTCCAAACAGATTCTGTTACATTACGATGTATGTAGAAGTCTGCACACAATGTCTTTAAAAAACCTCCAACACATCCAAGTGTTTATAAAATTATTTTAAAATGTTCTCAATCCTGAAAGAGCCTGAACAACTACCTCAGACTAAGAAGGTTAAAAAGAAAAAACAGACTTAGCCTCCTCAATTCAGATACTTATTGAAGAACGGCAAAGAAACGTTAGTTAATGGGATGAAAAACTAAGTTAGAACACGTGGTGGGTGGGGGTAGAAAGAATAAAGGCTCCCAATTTAAAGTCCACAATGAGCTTTAAACAAAGATGTTCTCCTTCATTCTTTCCTAGAGACTCACTGGGGAAACCCAACCCCCACAAAGCGTGTTACTCCTTCATTAACAATAGCTAACTATCGACTTCACCGCGACATTGTTTATCCCCCAACGTTTCTCTAAAGCAAAGTAACAACTAAGTGCTCGGGAACCAAGCCCAGCGCTTCAGTTATTAAAGTCTGGCTTCTCACTGAATCCAATACAAACATGCTACTTTTTTAGAATACTGTGCAAAAAACCCTCCTTATTTACTGAATTATTTTATAATTCATCACTAAACTATGCAAAAAATTAATTAATCGCATGGTTTAGTTAAGCAATTCAGCTGACACAGTAAATATTTACTCTTAACATCTCACAGGAAGTTTGCTATTGTGCTGGGGTTAGGGATGGTAGTGGGGAGTGAAAGGCAATTTATGATAAATAACTTAATCGGTCACAGCCAACTGAATTCACCTAGTGTTCTCCATCCCGACTCCTAATTAGGCACCAGTTTGCAAGCACAGAAAACATCTTATATAATGAAAGTAAAATAATAAATAATAAAAATAACTTTCTAAGCTATGTATCTCCAATAACAAAACCAACAAAAGCCCCTTTAAAAACCATACAGACACTTTTTTTTAAGCTGAGCGTTTTTTTTTAAAGTTATACGTATGGAAGCCCAATCACAGAAGGGGTAAAGAAAAAAAAAAAGAAACTAGGCAAAATATATTTACCTTAGCTTTTTAGAGACTGAGTAATCAACTTCCATGATTTTCCCATGCAATTCCACTTTACCTTTAAAACAGAAATTTAAAGCACTCAGAACCTCCCAGAGTCAAACCTGCGGGGGTCAAGGAGGGGCACGCACACTACTCCACGCTCGGGCTCCGCCTTCTGGAGCCTTCAAGGGGTCCTCCACCCGGCCGCAGCTGGGCGAACTTAGCGCCAACTGTGATCAAAAGTGGGCGCCCCGGGAAGCGAGCTAGGAGGGACGGGCGCAAGCCCAGTTCCGACCCCAGGTATAGCTGTGGGTGGCATTACCGGAAAAACACATTTAATAAAGAGCGGCGCCAATTTGAAAAGATGAGCTCATTTGAAACTCAAGCTGCAGGGCTGGCGCGCCTCGGTCTCTCCGGCCCCCAGCACCCCATCCCACCACCCGGGGACCCCAAGGCTCCCGGGCACTCGCCCCCTGCCCTCCCTGCCAGCGGTCCCGGGAACACGCGCAGGAGTCCCTGGCTCTGCGGCCGCCTGCTTTGGGGTGACCCCCAGATCTCGCCAGCTAGCCCCGCCGCACAGGTCTCCCAAGGAAGGGGGTTCCCTTGCGGGGTCGGGGGTCGCAGGCCCCCGGGAGCGTGGCCCGCCGCGTGCGTGTGCGGGATGCGAGTTGGGAGCGCGCGCGCGAGCGAGTGTGTCGCGCTGCGACTCCCGTCTGGGCTCCAGCGCGCTCGCGGGCCCCCCGGTCGCCTCTTTCCCGGTTCTCAGCCCGGGCCCCCACCGAGTTGAGACAGGGTACCTCGTAAAAAGGTGCTTCTGGCCGAGCAGGAGGCAGGGAGACGGGAAGCGGAAAGCCCCCAGCCCCGAGTTCTTCTCAATAAAATCGGACAAAAAATTCAGGGAAAAATAGGAGCGCTTCCGAGACCAGAGAGAGGGAACTGAGCTTGGGGAAAAGACCGAGGGAGATGTGCGGTCCGACAAGGGCAGGGTGGGGGAAACCCCAAGACCTCGAAGGGTTCAGTAGGTGAAGTCGAGGAGATGCCCAAAGTGGGGGGCCAGAAGACATGAGGGGGTCTCAAAAGGAGAGTGCAGCTTGAGAGACGACAGAGGGCGAGAGGTCTTTGGCACGAGGCATGGGAAGAAGGAAGGTCTGGCTAGGAGAGGAGACGCGGAACTGGGGGGGGGGTCCCTGGCAAAGGAGGTACTAGAAGGGTCAAGAAAAAGAAAAACGGGGGACTCTACAAAGGTGGGGGCGGGGGAAGCTCCGGAGAGCAGCTGGGCACTCCAGGGGCGCTCCTAGGGAGCCAGCGAGCCTGGGGACCCTCGGAGGGGCACAAGGTCGCCCCGACTCTAAGGCCCGAGGGTCTGTGAGCCCCCCGCAGTGGGGGCAGGGCAGCCGGCCATTCCAGAGCCAGCCCGCCGCGAGAGTCGCGGGGCTGGTGCGTGAAAGTGAGCGTGAGGGCTCGGGAGTCGCGGCGGGCGCGGCCCATGGGGCTCGGCCTCCCCGCTGCCGGTGTCCGGAGCCGGCGAGGCGCGGCGTGGGCAGTGCTAGTGCTCACCCGAGAGGGTCTCGATGGCGCGGATGGCCCAGTTCTGGTCGGGGTAGTCCACGAAGGCGTAGCCGGACTTGAGTAGGACCTGTCCCGCCAGGGGCAGCTTCCTGTCCCCGAAGAGCTGCCGGAGGTCGTCGGCGGTGACGGCGGGGCTCAGGTTCCCGATGTACAGCTTGTTCATCATCCGCGTCTTCCCGAGAGCCCGCGGCTCCCCCGGCCCGGCACCCGGCGCTCCCGCCGCCTCGGCTGCCCTCCTCTCTCCTCCTGCGCCCGCGCCCGCCCCCGCCCCCACCCTCGCCCTCAGCCTGGCTCCCCCCACCGCGGCCGGCCCGGCCCGCCCGGGGGCAGAGGCGGAGGCGGGGACTCGGCGCGGCTGCCTCCTCCGGGCAGAGTCCCGGGCGGGCGTGCGGACAAAGCGCTCGCTCTGCCTCCCGGTGCCGGGGCGGCGGCGGGCGGACGCACCCCGCGCGCCTGAGAGTTGGAGCGGCGTGTGCACCGCCGAGAGTGCGCGCTCTGCCCGTCCCGCGCCGCGCGCTCCGAGGGCTCGGTGCTCCCAGGCTGCGCGCCCGGCAGGCGGAAGCGGCGGCGGCCCAAGCGGGGCCGGGAGCGGCGGAACGAGGCGGCGCGCGGGAGGTGAGGGGCGCGGGCGTGGGCGGGGTGATCGCAAGGTGAACCCGACGTGGGCGCGGGGCCAGTGAGGTGCGCCTGGAGGAGAGCTCTCTACGCCACGGCTGACAACTTTTCCCCGCGCGTCCCGAGCCATGAACGGATCCAGAGACTTGCTGCGAGCCCAAGCTCTTGGAGAAGGGGGCGCATGTGGTCAAAGGAGGGAGGAACACACAGGTCCCCTCCCCCAGACCGTGTATTCTAAGAAAGTTACGGTGGCGCCGAGCCTCAGTTTCCCCAACCAAGGGGAGAAAGGAGAGCCAAACCGGAGCCCAGCGGAGGCCAGGTGGCGGCCGGTTTCAGTCCCAGGCTTGGTAGGCGTTCCCTGAGCTCTGGAAGGAAAGTTGTCCTTCCACGCGGAGGACGGAAGAGGAAGGGTCCCAGACCCTCTCCCAGGAAGGAGCCAGACAGATTGCCAGGCGGCAATCTAAGTCACATGACCCCGTGGGAATCTTGGAAATGAAGGGCTACAGAAGAGAATTAATGGATTTTAAGATGAGATGGCTCTGGACTTCAGAGTGTGATCCGGGAAGTGTTCCTTGGTTTTTAGAGGGCTTTTTAGGGTTTTAGTGGTTGGAGGTTATGTCTGGGTGGAGAAGTCACCATGGGCCATATGGTAGAAGGCCTGTCTACTCCATAGTCAGACCCAAAGTGTGCCGACATCCTTGAGCCTAACTTTCATCCCTAAAGGAAATAGAACAACTACCCCTTGTGAGGATGACATAAAAGGCTAGCTCAGTGATGTGTGATACACTGCACTTTGCTTCCATTTCTTTGCCCAGGGAAACTTAAAAACTGGGGGGGTGAGGGGCTGTCCTTAATTACTTGTCTTGATAAGAAAGTGATGAATTCTTTCTCATCTAGATATTTACTGGCATTTCAATTCTAGCTTTCGTCAAATATTCCTCTCTGGATTTTACTGCTCCTCGAACTAGGAATAGGGCTTTGATAGTGTTCCCCAGACTGACAGATAAACCAGGGACAGATGCTTTCTAAGTAAAATGTGGAAGAAACTCGCAAATGAAAACAACTTGTGTGTGCACAAATCACCTCAGACTAGAAGCCGCCTTCAGATTGCTGACACGAACGTTCCTAATTAGGCTGGTCATCTTTGTAAGGATATGTTTGCCTATTCACAGTAAATCATAGTTACAGGCTACAGAAAACAAGGAATTGGCACGGGTTGGTGGTCTCCCTCGCTGAAAGGTTAGTAAGCCTTTTATGTTGCATTACATTTTCAAACATGGCAAGTGTCTGTGGCCAAGCCATGGCTACTCTGCAGACACAGTATACCGAGTCTTCCTTAGCATAGGTGGGGTCTTGGGGGAAGGTGGGGCTCTCTTTTACACTGTCAGTGAGATTATTTTCAGACTCCTTTCTGGGAAGTAGCTGCTTTTTGCTGTCTTTGGTGTGTTCTGTCCTGCTGTCATCTTGTAAACAGTGCTTCAGGAAGATAACACAAGATTAGTAATGACAAAGGACACTTTTCTCCATACCTCTTATGGTTTTTGACTTTCTTGGTCCTGCAACGAAGTATTGGTCAAAAGAAGTTGAAGGGAAGAGTGGCTTATTTGGGCTCACAGTTTGAAGATACGGTCTTTCCTGGCCACAGAAACAGGAAGCAGCTGGTCACATGGCATTCACCGCCAGGATACAGAGCCGAATGCTGGTGCTCAGCTTGCTTGCTTGCTTCCTTTTATGTAGTCTAGAACCCCTGGCCGTGAAACTGTGCCGCCTGTGTCTGTAGTAGTTGCTCTCCTCTAAGCCTAGCCCCTTACAGATGCCCTAAGTCATCTGCGGTGATTCAAAATCTCGTAAAATTGACAAGATTAAGCATCGTGACATTCCACCGGGCAGTGGTGGTGCACGCCTTTAATTCCAGCACTTAGAAGGCAGAGGCAGGCAGATTTCTGAGTTCAAGGCCAGCCTGGTCTGCAGAGTGAGTTCCAGGACAGTCAGGGCTACACAGAGAAACCCTGTCTCGAAAAACCAAAAAAAAAGCATCATAACATTCCACTCCAGCTCCTTAAAATTCCACTTTCTTCTCATAATAAAAATACATTTAGTCCAATTCTAAAAGCCCCTATAGTCTTAAATATTCATGACATTGTTTGAAAGTCCCAATTCTCTTTAAAGACTGAGGGTAATCACTTAATTGAGAACCACCATAAGGTTAATAAACAAGTTGCCCGTTTCTGGTAGCAATGACACTATAAAGACTCCCACTTCAGAGGGAGGAGAATCATAGCAAGGGGTGGGGGGAAATCTGATTAAAACAGAAGCAAAATGCAGCAGGGCAAACAAGGTCCTGCAGCTCCCAGGCGCCTGGAACTCCTGAGGAACCCTCTGGGCTCCAGAGGCAGTTCATGGCCATGCGTCACCAGCTCTGCCAACCTGCAGCAGGCATAGCTTCTCTTTGGGGCTGGCTTCACTTAACACTTGTAGCTTTCCCTCCTGGGTTTCTCTGTTTTTATCATGTCCAACATTCTGGAGTTTTCATTGCAGGTCAGGCTTCATCCTGTTAGAGCTCACAGAATGGTCTCAGGGGTTCTTCAAAGCGATATCAACCCTGCGATATCACCATGGTCTAGCCTTAGTGACTCTGGAACTATGCTGTTACATTCTGTGGCACCTTCCCCATCTATCTATCATGCTCACAACTAGCATCATGTGGATGCTGATGCCGGGTTCTGCTGCCAGCTCAGGATGAAGCTGCCCCACAGTTTCCTCTTGGACCACGGTTCCCTTGGCCTTGGTGTTCTGATCCTGGAGAAACACATTTTTTTCTAAGTAGGTTTTTTGTTGTTGTTTTGTTTTGAGTAAAGAACCCCTTCAGTAACATTAGATCCTTTCAGATAAATTTGTATTTAGGAAATCTTAATAGCTAGGATCTTCCCCTCAGAATATCTCTCCTGTAGTCCCAGTACAGAGACCCAAGCTTCATGATGGTACTTTTTCCTTTAACACTTACAGCCGCTTTCAAGTGTGTCATGTCTGCAACTGTAACTTGTTTACATTCTTTTCCTCCTCAAACTTTCCATTTTCCTTCTTTTTGCTTTCTCTAACTGTAGGGCTGAATAAGAGCAGTGAACTGCAGCCTACTACAGTTTGAGTGTTGGCCTGTCTTGAAATTCCTTCACCAAGCACATTAGTCCCATTGCTTTCAAATTCAGCCTCATTCAGGTTCTCGGGACATAGTCAAGAGGCAGCCCCAGTGTTTGCTATAGAACATAAACGGCCCTAACCCAGTTCTCAATAGGGTTCTTGTTTTCCTCAGAACCTTATGAGCTGCATTTCCATTGGCCATATTTGACATTCTAGTTTTCCAAATTCCCACCAGCCTGGCCTATTAAATTCTGCCTACAGCCAGGTGGTGGTGGCGCACACCTTTAATCCCAGCACTTGGGAAGCAGGTTGATTTCTGAGTTCGAGGCCAGCCTGGTCTACAGAGTGAGTTCCAGGACAGCCAGGTCTACACAGAGAAACCCTGTCTCAAAAAAAATTCTGCCTACAGCATTCTAGGGCTTTTGTAACTCAAAGTTCCAAACTTACAGTCCTTCTATAAGCTAGTTCCAAGTTCTTACAGACCATTACAGGCAGGATTAGCACACCCATGGCCCCACTACTGAGTACCAGTTTTCTATACTAGTCATTTCTCACAGTTTGAGAGTACGCCTCATCCTGGTAGGGAAGGCATGGAGCTGCGTGTGAAGAAGCTGCCTGCGTTGGGTCTACAGTCAGGAAGCAGGGATAAGAAAGGCTGTCGTTCAGGTCCCTTTCTCTTTCCACAGCTTAGTGGGCCAGCCCATGGAGGATGCTGCCACACGCATTTAGGATGGCTCTTCCCACCTAAACCCAGTTCCCCAGAGTCATGGTCAGTTATTCGGTTCCCTGATGGTCCCCAATCCCATCACGTTGACATCAACATGCAGCAGCCACGGTTCTTAGAGGCAATAGATTTCCTGTGATAGGAAAGAGGACCTTTCCTTTGGAGATGATAGGGGTAACATCCAAGAGAAAGCCAGGAATCGATAGGGGTCCTTGCTCCTACCTATCAAAACTCACTCCTGGCTGTTTCCCTTGAGCTCCCTACATCAGCCCTCCCTAGGAGCTGAAATGGTTGCCAGTTAGAGTTCCTGAGTGACCTTGTAAACCTAGCAAAGCAAGATGAGAGTTTAGGATCAGAAGTTTGGGGACATTCTTCAAGTATTCACATTTCTTTCTAAAACCTGTGTGTGGTGGTTTGAATATGCTTGGCCCATAAAGTGTAGAGGAATTTCCCTTAATTATTTGATTGGCTAAGAAAGATGACAAATAGCCAATCAATGGACAAAAATGAGGCAGCAGGTTTCCTGGGCAAGACAGGAAGAGGAGGAGTAGGAGGAGACAGTGAATGGAGGAAGACAGAGGGAGAGGGTTGGAAGAAGATGGAGCAGGAGTGCATGGCCTGGAGAAACTGCAAGGAGCAGGGCTTTCATAGCTGGGGAAGAAAGAGGTGTAGAGGCAAATCTGCCCAATATAGGCCTGCGGTTTATAAATATATAACTGAGTTGCGTTTTCCTTGCATGGTTATAAGAGTTGCTTTGGTCATGGTGTCTGTTCACAGGGTGTCTGGAAACCCTAAGATACTATGTTAGCCTTTTCTCCAAGAGTTTCAAAAACAGTAGAGAAGCCTACAGCTTCCTGTCGATTCTCTGTGGCAGAAGAGCAAAAAGGTGGCCAGGACAATACTTTCAACTCCCACTTGGCAGGTAGGAATACTGAAGCCCTGGGGAGCAGCAAGCAGTCCATGGTCACACACAGGCTTAAGACACATGTGGTAAACATACTCGAGCCTAACAGTCCCCAAAG